CACTTTACCGCCCATTCCAGTTAATTTTTTCCGTAGTCCTTTAGCTTCCTTTTCCGCTCCTGCTGATTCCTCTTCCGTTCCTGCCGTTCCCAAAGATTGAGTCTCTGGTTTTGGCGTGGCTGGAAATACATATTTAATAATTCAAAGTTGACTGCTATAAAATCTCAGCGGGTGTCCGTATTTCAGGGCGGTAATTTCACATTGTTCGGCTTGCCTGCCGTACGCCTCAAGAAGCTGGAAATGAGCAAACTGCAGGCCTGCCAGGCAGGTGGGCTGCCCACAAAATCACCTTTTCATTCACCCCGCTATACGCATAGAATCGAGGTAGATACGCATTGGCCAAGCTTAAGTTACACATATTGATATCATGGCTTGTATTGTTCTATTATCTATAGACATTAATTAAGGTATCTGCTAACTTCCTTGAGAGAGTGATGTGTTCAAGACCCTTTTTTAAATAGATCTATAGTATGTAATATATAGATAAACAAACATATAGAGTCAAGAACTACAGTTTCTAAAATCAAAAGATCAATTTAATTTTTTGACATGTAACAAGAACTGGTATAATTCTAGCTTTTTTATGAAGTTACTCTATTAACCATTAAGACCCTTAAAACCCCAGCACTCTATAAAAACTCAGCACTCCCAGCAAATTAAGAAAGGATTTAATTTGAGGTCCCAAGAATCCATTATATCCGGAAATGAAAAAAGAAGAGAGCCTCTTCAGAGTACCGGGTATCTGATGGTCTGTAAACATACCTGACCCGCAAAGTGTCCTAACTGGTTTTCGGTTTGGTGTTTTTGGGTTCGGGATTGGCTTTGTGTTAATGTGAGAGTTTACTTAGCCAGCGCTATTTTCGCTCTAAGGCCATTGAGTCGGGGCGCTTCCTGGGGGAAATTAACCTCCTGCCGGGGGGCAGTCGTACAGAGCGAGTGCCGTGCAGTTTGGCGCCGCTTTGTCAGTTACACTACTCCGCCTTCTGACCCCTGACCCCGGGTCCTGCCACACTTCCTTTGTCCTGTGAACGCGCTGAACTCTCTCGCTCCGCTTTGATGATATGGATCAAACGATTTTGCTTGCAGATTAAACTACATGGTCCGACACCAGCAACTTCTGCAAAACGTCGAAAGGGGAGTAGCCGAAGGGCGGATGGAAAAGCACCGAAAAGCAGTTAGCGGTAACAACTAACAGCAAGGACCTAGATCGCGTGTCGCATGCGAGAAAATGACAGGCCCGGCCCTTCGATCCAATGCCATTTTCAACCAAAGCAATATGCCATTCCGGCTGCAATTGCAACAAAATGCCTGCTGTTGCCTGCTGCCTGCTGGCTTCTGTCTGCCACTTTGCACTTTGCACTTTTGTGCATTGCCACAAAACTTAAATTGAGCCGAAAACAAACATTCTGGCTAGCAAAATCAAATAGTGCCAGGCCAAAATGGAGCCGAAATCTAACCGGGCCATTCATTATCCGCACTTTGATTTTAAAGCCAGTCAGCAAATCACTTAAATCTCTCTTGTGCAAAAGTCGTGGCCAACTTAAATCGCATGATAAATGTTTTCTTAGGCCCCCGGACCGTAGCCTCTCCAAAATACCTTGTGACCCGAAGGAGTATATTGGTTCGTTTGATCCTTGGCTGCTTGGCAAAGGTGCTGGGTATTTGGCGATTCAATTTGCCAAATATTTGCTCTACTTTCTCTCCACTTTATCTCAGTGTCTATCGGTTGTATATTTAATAGAATCTTTTGCATTTCTTATGTGTTTCCAAGTGTCAGCGAGCATATAATTTGATTTATGACCGGCAGAGTTATGCCCCAATAATAACATCGAAGATAAACTTTTTCCCCTTGTTTATTTTGGAGAACGGGTCGTAGATGGTACATGGTAGGAAGGAAGCCAGGACTAACGATGACTAAGGCCTTTTAAATACTGTCGAAAGATGTCATTGTTTTGGCCAGAACTTCCATGTGTCCTGCTCGGGCATAAGTTATGTATGCTGCTGCCTGGATGAAGAGCTCAAGGGTGTGCCATTGCCAGCGTAATCATGCTGCCTGTCAGGTCCTAATACCTGATAATCAATTGCTAAACGCCAGCTAAATAATTGATTGTTGTTACAACGGCGGTGGAGCGAATGGACTACCGACATCTAACCAATCAATCAACTTTCAGTTCCTCTTTTACTGTAACGCTTATGCTGGTTGGGCTGCTGGTGCTGTCGCTGCTGTTTTCCTGCTAATTAGCAAATTAAAAATCCGTAGTTTTCGCCGCGCTTTTAAAGCGTTTTCCCTCACGAGCTGCTGCAAGGAAAACTCATTAGTAATTAAATGTTTTCCGGCGCGTCTACGCCCCGTAGTTTCTCGACACTCCGGCTCCTGTCGTCCCTCGTCTTCTTGTTGACGCTGGCCCTTCGTTTCCCCGCTTCCTAGTCCCTAGTCCATGTCCTGCCCCAGTCCCTGTTGTCCTTGTCGACGTCGTCGTCGTCGTGTTCGCACAGCCAGCACTTCCGCACTACCGTCCTTCCGCCAGCCGCTGATTCTGGTTCCGAATCTGCTGTTGCTGTTACTCCAGCCTCTTCCCCTATTGTACGTCCTGCGTTCTCTGTGTCCTGGCGTTGATGACGCACTCTCGAATATGAGACCAGAAGCCTGGCCCACGGTACGTATACGCACTTTTTGTACCTGCTACCAGGCATAACAAAGCCAGTTAACTGCCTTCTTAGTGGAAATACCAATCGCACTAATTAAATTAATAAATAAGAAAATGCCAAATAAAATATATGTTTTTGATTAATTTATGGGTTTTTATTGTCGTTTGGTCACTGATTATCCAAAAATGGAAGAGAAAAAAGAAATCAAACATACGAAACTAATATTGTGTAATATTATAACCAATACAGAGTCTATAACTATTTCCCTTAATTAAGAAACTTTTTGAAAACATTTCCCATATTACCATTTTTATACCATTAAAAATTTTTTGTAAAATTGTTAATGCATTAACAATAATACACTTTGGAATTCCTCAAAACAGTATCGATTACCTCCACAGCATAGTTTACATTCCCCCATCTAAAATGGATCTCCCCCATCTCATGGATACAATATTTATTGGCTTAAAATCTTTTTCGATTTTTTTACACTTATTTAAATATTGATTTATAATAATTAGAACTAAACATAATAAATCTTCTAATTGCAATGATATAACATTTTAAATTTAATAGAATGTAAGAACCTTAATTTCCCACGCTTTAAGTCTTGGCATACTTTGCTTTTTAATTACTCTTTAAAACATTAAAACAACAGTTGGTAATTGGTATGAATTTATTATCGATTCGCAGATTGGCGGAAAAAGTAAATATTAATTTGTAGTAAATAAATAATGTAAACAATTCAGCATCGTGGGCATTCTTCAGTCGCAATAAAATCCCGGTTGGCTTCGATTTTTGCACTTGTTCAGTAGCTGTTGTTCTTGTAGTTGTTTGGCGCTGCGTATTAAGACCGTAAACAAGTCCGCAAGCAATGGCTCCGGTTAAGTCTCCGGCAACGGCTACGGCTATAGCAACGACTACGGACTCAGAGTACGGACTACGGCTCCTACTGGGCTGTAGCCCTGAGCATGATTTGTTACTGACAGCGTCTCGGGCAGCAGAGTCGAGGCTGGGTTTGATTTATTTCTTGTTGTACAATTTATGAGTGAAGGTGAAGCAGCCGACACACCATACACCAGAGCCAACAAAGGATGCCTGGTAGCTTCGATCGGACCCTCGGCACTTGCAATTCATTGGGCTGAACCCGAGAACCCGAGAATTCCAGTACCCGAGAAGCGTCCTTCCAAGGGGTTATGTTCCGCCACTTCGCAAGGCGGAGGCGCCAGGCGAAAGGATAGGGATACGAGCCTGCGACTGTCAGGCAGCGCGTGTTTCAGATGCGTAAGATTCCCAAAAGATTTGCGAAATGTCGGGGGAAAAGGATAGGGTACAAGGACATGCTAACTCCCATGTACCAAGTCCCTTCCTCCGCCCAACAGAACCCGCTCCTTTCGCCAGATTGTGATGGATGCTCGCCTACTTTCTCTAAGGAGGAGAGCTCCAGGGGCTTTGCGGTTTTCAAAATTGGGCAAAGGGACGGCCAAGGGAATGGGAAAAGGAGACAAGTCCTTGCGTGCAGACCCATTAGCGGCTGGGAACGTCTTTTATTTCAATTACCACCACCTTATGCAAAATTCAGGCAACACTTGGCTGTAAGGAGATGTGTTATGCGGCTTGTTCCTTTTCCTGGGCGTCCTTGCAAGGAGTCTGGCATTTACCGTTCCGTCTCACCATACCATTACTCATTGTGTTGCCTACTTTGCGGCAGCCTTTGTAGCACTCATCGCCCGAATTGTCGCAGGAAACTCTACGCATACTGCATTCCAGGTAATTCATCCTCCAAAGGCACCGCCACTTTTCCACTGCCACCGCCAAACGGCAAACTTTGTCCGAGAAGTTGGACTGTAATTGCCGTCCGTTTGGTGTAAATTGTGCACGCTTCAAATATTTCAATTACCCTGCCCGGGGGTCCTCCACACCTGCCTCCTTCCATTTTCTCACCTGCGAAACCGAAAGTGTCTTGCCGGGAAGTCTTTGATGTGATGTGGATACGGAGGATGTAGAAGCTCCGGGCAAGGTAGGCAATCTAGGACCCGTCCGACTGACCTTATCGTTTTTCAATTACCGTACCAGCCCCGCCCCTGCAATTAAACGCCATAATCCGGGTCGCAGGATGCCAATGTCCTCACCCCGACATCGAATTCGGAGCTCTTCGAACAGAGTGGGCGCGTTGGAAGTTGGGTGGCTGTAAGCTGGACACACTCATATCGCCATCAATCATTGGGTCCTGCAAATTAAATTGCCTACTCGGCCCCGCGGTACACGATTTATCATAATTAATCTAGATCCCGCCGTTCGATTATTAAGATTAAACATTTATTTACATTCGTATTCGTTACGGTTTCAATTCGATTCGATTCGGACTCGATTGCTCGCTTTGGTATCTCTAGGTATGCGATCGGATGCATATATTATATATATCATATATATTATGTGCGCTATATACCACGTCCATACATCTGGCTGCACACAAATGCACTCTCGACCTATTTACTTAATTACGTATAAAAAATACTTAGAGACTGAGCCACAAAACACAAACATAAACAAAAACTCGATTTACATATTTACAAGACAACGCGACATCGACGTCGTTAACCTCCATCCTTATCCAGCTATCCTGGTATCCAGCCCAACAGCCATCACAGCCCCAATCCGCGCTGGGGGCGTGGTCGGGTGCCTGTAACGAGATGATGACTCCTGACTCCTGATTCCTGGCCTGATGACGGCAGTAAAATCAGCGACTTACCCGGCTCTCATGCTCTCCAGACATCGAACATAAGTTGCCGCTCCGGCTTAAAGCGCCGCCAGTCGGACCAGGGAGCCGTGGGGCGCGGCTGGAGCAGCCAGGAGGGCGGACAGAAGGGCCGCCAGGAGCAGCAGGGCAAGCGGGGGCAGCTCCAGTCTCGCCCCCAGTTCGTGCTGCATGGCCGCGTGCTGCTCACTCTTAATGATATGCACAAAGACGCTGTCAGAGTCTGTTGAGTAGAAATAGACAGGAGGGGTGGGTTAGAGGGGGGTTTTCTCAGGGGACACTTGAAAAAATTTGGGTCTTCAAGATTGGCTTTCAACTTCTTAAGGTACGAGGAATATTATTCATAGAGCTGCTTAGACTGTTTTTCAAATATAAATAAAAGTTTTAAGGAAACTTACTGACTTCCTAGTACTGAACTCAAATAACTATACTTAAGCTATGAAAACTAACTGAAAACTTTTCATTTTATATTTGTTAGAAATCTTCTAAAATATTGTTTTATTTTATTTTAAGTGTATGTTTTAGGTACTCTGATATTTACTAAAACATAATTAGACATTACAGCGTAGTTAAACTTCATAAAACTTTAACTTACAGTTTTGTCTGAAGTCTGAAGCAAATTAGATTAAAATTTATTCAAATTATTTTTTCCTATAATCAAAATGAAGCTTACAAAACTTACTTTATAATAACAGAACTTTTTAGAATACATAATATTTAATGAGTTATGTAGCGTGTACTTACTGGAGTTCTCCGCGGAGCAGGTGTAGTTGCCAGAGTCCGTGTTAAGGACTTTGGATATCACCAGGTTGCTGGTCTTCATCTGCTGCTCGGATACCACCCGTATGCCGCCCCGCGTCGAGTCGCTGACCAGCTCCGTATCCTTGTGCCAGACCATATGCGTATAGGGCCCCGGGGCCTGGGGGGCGATGCAGGTCAGATTGATGTCACTGCCGCTCTGGATGAACAGCTCGCGGTTGGCCAGGATCTGGGCTTTGGAGGCTGTCAAAGAGCGCCGTCGAATTGCGATTAATGGGAATGTCAACAAGTTGCCTTTGGGGAGGGGAGTCTAAGGGAGGAGCCATAGCCACCCGTCCCCAAACTACGGCTGTGTGATGTTCTGTGGTGCTTGATAAACTAATTTGTCAGAGTAATCCCCGCTCTTTACACCCTCGGGCGGCTATCTAAACGGAGATGTAAACAACGTCTAAATGGACTTACAAGACCGCCAATCGATTGGGGCTCAAAGGGAGTATCGACACTGGCCCTGACAGGCAATCATGCCAAATTAAAAATTGAAAGGAGAAAGGAGGTGTATCCTCAAAGCTGCGTACCTGTTATAACCTCTTTGTAATCCTCTTAGGAAAAAAAGTTAATATATTTTTATAGGTATCTATTTTTATCAAAAGCTCATTACTTTTTAATAAAAGAGTTATTTTATAGAGAAATTTAAATCATGCAATGATGCTCAAATAATTCAGCATGTGTAACTATGTTTTCCCTTGATTGGTTAATTACTTTTATATGAACATTGCAACTAATAACCCTACTAAAAAGTTGAATACCTCTGGAAACTATGTTTTTAACACTCCCAGTTGCAACTTTTCTCCTAGGATAACTTTATCCAGATTTTGTTTTTCAAAGTTACTTTGTTTAACACTGTATATCACTATGACTACCAGAGTTTTTAATTATCATTAATTTAAATCAGGAAATGTTTTTAATTTAAAGCAATTAACTTTTGCTAAAACGGGCATTGAATTATTTAAAAGTTTAAATCTAAAATTTAAAGCTGCCAAAAAGTTTTGGAAGCAGGGCCTTTGATCCCTCTGGATGTCCAACAAACTAATTGATTCCCACGGCCCACCCTCAATACTCACTTACGACGACCAGCTTGTAGGCCAGGCTGATCTTGGGCTCCGTGGACACCTGGCACTCGTACACCCCCGCATCCCTCGGCTGCACGGAGACGACCTTGAGCACCCACTCGTCGGAGTTGTCGATGTGGCGCGCCAGGAAGCGCTGGTCGTTGGTATAGGTCATGATGCCGATGGTAAGGATGTGGAGGTCACGCTGCCGTATCCAGGACACTGCCCGGTCACCCAGATGCCGCACCCGGCAGTGCAGGCGGGCGGTGGTGCCGAGGGCGGCAATTATCTCCCTCGATGTGGAATTGTCAAACTGCGGTTCCAGTCCATCGTAGTTGTCCGGAATCAGGTTGGACAGTTCTTCGGCGGCAGCCATATGTCCTGGTTGTACAGAAAAAAGACCACAGAATTGGTTTGGTTGGAATTTTTTTTAATGGAAATTTAAATTAAATTTGTTTCATTTCTCAATTTTATTGAGATGAAAATTTTGTAGGCGCTCTATAAAACCTATCTAAAATATTACTAATTTATGAAGTTAAAACAAAGCCCTATTTCATTATATTATATTTTACCCCAGAATTTCCATACGTTGACTAGTAATTGTGGTCTAAGCAAACTGGCAAATGACTTTAAGCCTTAATCTCGTAATTAATACGTGTTTGATGATTGATTTCTACCGTTGTCACTGTTAGTGTTAATTATTAATTGCATATAAGTTTAGCTCTAAGCTTTAAATGGCTATTTTGTTCCACAGTAAAGCCAGCATACATGTTATTTTGCTGAAAATGAAATCCATTTTTTATTAAATTCTAATTATTTTGGCATGCTTTTGGCATAAATACAAAAAAATATAAGAAAACTAATATCACTGGCCAAATAAAGAAAGCAAAAAATGTAATGGAAAAAACTATTTCTAATATAAAGTCAATTAAATTAAGTCAATTAAGTCAATTTCTTTGATGTTTTATTTGTTCTGTCGGGAAAGTGTTGGAAAGAATGTTTGTTGCGGATCCGATTTGCACATTAAACCGCCCCGGGGGGAGCAGTTTATTCGAACAGCTGTATCTGAACGTCAATCTAAATGTATTCAAGTGCATTCACGGCCAGGCCTTGTGGGGTAGACGGATAGATTGCTGTAGGGAGCGTCAGATATTCCGACAGACAGACAGATGGATGGATATACCGACAGATAGCTGGACAGACAGACAGACAGATGGATGGTTGTTTGAGGAGGGGGGGTTTTCTCAGCTGTACCGGAATCATTCGGGTTTGATTAACGAGTATTTGTGCTTAATTTATGCTCGAGTTTAAGCATTCACCCCACAGAACCTCTATCCTCATTCCGCGATTATGATCCATCACTGGATGGTGGCCAGTAGTGATTTATGTGGGCGGAGGTGGGCCGTTGTATTAGCCAACTAATACGCTAATAATCCATGAGTGCCTAAACAAACACAAATACGGCCACTGAATGGAGTTTTGGCATGGTTCTGGGCTCTGGAAATGGGATGTGGTTGTGGAAGTGTAAGTGGATAAACACATATTGATTTATAGGGCAGGATCCTTTGTGTGTGTACGAGTGTGAGTGTGTGTGGTAGGAGCAAATGTAGATATCAAATACCAGGCAATAAAACGCTGTTACACACTTAATTGAAACTGTTGCTCCAGAGCCTCTGGGCCAGCGAGGCGATGGATTCGCTCCGCCCAGGCCAAACACTTCAGATGAAATTGCTTTTTATACTGGCCACAAAATATATAAAAAAGATTCCTACCCGCACACATTCGCCCACACAGCACCACCGGCAACCCACACACCAGGCAAAAAAACCATGTAACAACATAAAAATTTTTAATAAAAGTTGCGTATTTACATACAAAGTGCGGGGTGGCTCGGTCGCACCGCAACCGCAGCTTCAGTGGCTACAGCTTATTCCCCCCAACCCCAACTACTCAGTCTCTAAGCTTCGCCCTCTGTTGCACTTCCCCAAGCGGGCCCTAAACTGAGCTCAGGTGCCATAAATTACAAATGAGCAATTGCAGCTGCTCCGGTTCCAGGTCCTGTTCCGAACTCGCACTCGAGTTGAGAAATGCGAAATAGATGGGAGCATAAACAATTTTGGACAGACGAGAAAGGAGAAGTGCCAAATTGAGATATTTCCGCTGAATCGGGCCTCTATAGAATTCATTCAGGGGCCCCATACCTTGATTGCCAGAAAAAGTTTAGGGCTGCGCCAATATAATTAAAAAGTTCAAATAAAAACCGCAAAGAGTGTTTGGCTGCGGAATAATATGAAAAATGTGTGTTTTAAAAAGTTTCCAATTAAAGTTACAAAAAGGTATTGATAAAGGGCTGTCCCATTCAGCAGTTCCGGCAGTATTTGTAAAGAATTCTATTTTTATATTGCAATTTTAAATTTTAGAAAGGGCTTAGATAGAACTATGAAATATTACAACAGATATATGAATAAAAGGTTTAGGTATCTATTGTATCCATTAATTAGATTTATACTCATTAGCTGGGTATTCTATTTATGCATCATTGGCTTAGCATGGAAATTTCCAGAATTGTTTACTTCCTTTGTTGTCCGCCAGGATATCAATATATGGAAATAAACCCGCTGTTCAGCCAGGGATCGGTCTGGCCATGTAAGCCCCAGCAGGCATTTCGAGTCCATCTAATTGAAATTGACCCATTCTGTCGTACTTTTAATTTCCAATACGATTTGCTGGGCCAATCCCATTTGTAATACCAGCCCTGATCCAATTGCCCCGCCTGGCTTAACCCTTTGAGTGCCGGCTGATTACATTTTAATCCGCTACACACAAACCCTCGTACTCCCGCCGTACTCACCGAAATATTGGCTGCTGGGCCGGCTCTTCTTGTCGACAGTTGCGGTTAATCCCATGATCACGAGCAGCGCCATAAAGTGTTCCACCAACATTTCATGCGCAATTTGTGGGGGCTCTTAAATTACATATAACTGCAGCCGAATCGCGGGCGGAAGGACGAAGCAGGCGAAGACATCAACATCAACATCGACATCGAAGACAAGGAGAACGACAACAGAAAAGTAATTAAAATAAATGATGGCAATCGCGAGTCTCAACTCGACTCAATTCAACTCGAGTTGTTTCGTTTCTACTTTATAGGGACGCAAGACAAACAAAAGATGAAGGATGGGATAGGACAGAACAGGACACTGCCACCCACTCTCCATCCTGCTTTGTGCAGAAACAATAACTGAAAGGGATTAGGCTCAGGGCTCCTCCGTCTTATCGGAGCTCCAGAAACCGCAGCTCATTCATTTAAACTGATGACAAGACCGCAATGCGGTCGAGTTTTCAATCACCATGACGCCCACAGGACAACATCAAGATGAAGATGTGGCGTAAGGACATCAGCTTGTAGGCAGTGGGGGGTAGTGAGGGAGTGTGGGTGGGGGAGATGCCTAGCTTTTGGTAATTTCTTCATTACACACTAAGCTGTCCATTCAATTGCTTGTGGCGAAGCGAGTGGAGGTGGAAGTGGCAATGGAAAAGCAAGGACAGGAACAGGAACAGGACTCGCTTCGCCCAGCCTCGCTCGAATCGCCCGAAGGCAGCAATTTCGGTCTGGTCACGTTCCGATAATACACTTAATTATATTCGAGGGCGGGCCGGGAAAAAGGGGTGGCGTTCCGACACTACTACCTTGTTCTGGACACGGACTAGAATCGGTGGCTGTGGTCGGAGCAAATGTAGCGTGAACTGCGTGCCGCCATTTCATGCGCAACGTAATGCAGTCGAGCGCGTTGCGATCTTTTTCGGGGGTGCGGGGCCAGTGCTACGCTTACGTAACATCCTTTACGTGACGTGAGGCCACGGACATCCCCGACACTCGAGAGAACGTAACGCGAAATCTGTGACTCCAATGACGCGATTCCAATACCAATTCCGAATTCGATTGAGAAGTCAGATACGACAGAAAGCCGAGCTGTCACTCTTTCCGACCCGAGTCACGGTTAACCAGTCACGGAGAATGATTAGTAAGGAAAGAGTAAAGGATAACGAGTCACGAGAACCAGTCACTAGTCACGAGTCACGTACTAGCTACTTCCGGTTTTGTCTGCGCTCGTTGCGTGTGTGTGGCTTGAGGCGCGGTAAACAACTGAAAGGAGCTGCCTCGCCGTATCCTGCGACAATATGCAAATCTCTGGGAGCAGGAGGAGCGGCGCAGGCGCTGCCGCAACATGTTGCAGCAACATTTATTGGAGCCAAATTGAATCGTTCTTGCGGTAGCTCTTGCTGCAACCCCACCCCCAAGATACCCCATCAGTGGAATGGGCCAAGACATCTTTGGATGGGTCTTTAAAGTTCATTGGAGGTGCGTGGCTGGATGTGCTTATGAAATATTTAACAGGGTAGGTAGTGGGTCGTTTGATTTGTGTCACGCAACAGAATACAAGATCCGAAAAGGAGCAACAATAAACTGGCAGCACCAGCAGCAACACCAACTTCAATAATAACACAAAGCAACATCAATAATAAAATACAGAAGAGGGACTAAGCTCATGCATGACAAGGCGTATTTTTCCTTGTATTTTAACGGCAAGCATTGCCAGCTTTTTGCAATTGAAAGTGGCAGCGACAGACACCCACTTTTACACACGCACACCCACAGAAGGACGAACATCCGAACGCACAACATGCCACGCATTGTGAGCCTATTGTGTCAAAGCGGAAACGGATATGAAGCGGCCATGGCTGCTGTAGTTGTTGCTGCTGTGAGTGCCTCCGCCCCGATGTTGCTACTGCGGCGTTGCTGCTGCTGCTCTGGCAGGCGACTTATCAAAATCGATGAGGCAACATATGGTCGATTTTAATTTTCTAACATATTTCTCCACGAACAGCGCAGACCAGCCAATGCCACACCGGGAAAAATAGATAAGCTGTCTATAATCTCCATAATAATGCAAAATTTATGCTTTTGCAATTAGAGTATTTGAATATCCTAATAATATAATAGGCAATAAGTTCATAAATCACAAAATATAAATCATAAACGCACAAGGACAATAAACTATTGTCCAAATGGAGAATAGTGATTATGCCCAGTATTAGTGGAAGGTGAGAGTATTTGGTGATGCATTTTCTTTTATTTCCCATTAATGTTCAATAGTTTTTACAACTAATTTGTTTTATTAAGATCAATGACCATACTGTCGTGTGTCAAAAGTTTCCCAGAGCGAACATAATTGACAGGCATTCCGTTTTTCCAGGTGCACAACCGAGACAGACAAGCCAAAGAGCCATTGACACGACACAAGCCACTGGAATACCGACACACAACCACACATTTCACCTCTCGTGACTCCCGAGGACACCGCAGGACTCACGCTCGCTCTCGTTCCCCTAGATGGCTGCACTCCCCTCTCAAATCCGTTTAGCATATTTTCTTTGGAAATTGAATTTCCAAGTTATTATAAATATTTCTCCAATAAATGCAATTTGAGTGGAATTTTTTTGCCCCATCGTCTCGGTTTCAGTGTCTTGTGTGCTTAAAGTTTTTCAGAAGCAGGGAGTTCTTTGGCAGCCACCTACACTGTGTTTAGCATGTGCCGATGTCCTGTCTGTCCTGTCCTGTCCGACAAATCAAATAGACAACAGGCGGCGAGGCGCCTAAGCAAGCAGAGAGTCCTTTCCGCCTCGCCCTGCCATATTATTTTACACTAACAAGCCAAACATTCCTCAAATTTAACAAGCGGCGACATTTTTCAGCCCCACATCCATCTTTCTTAGTCCTAAGTGAATTCTGTTTTCATCGCAGGATGTAGCAGGATGTCGCAAGGCACTCGCCCAGGCACAGTCACAGTCGCAGGCCCTGGATTGGGAAGGGTGCAAATTATGAAAAATGCTCAGGGGCGGACTCCAGAAAATGTTGCGAAAATGTAAAGCTCGGCGAGTGCAGGGGCTTGCTTTTGATCTAAGGCAGGGTGCCCCGAAAATTATGCTACGAAAAATGGAATTCCGCTTTTCCGCGAAACAGCCCGAAAAGATCGCTTTCCGCTTAGTAACCTTTTGAGCGACCCTCCTCGAAGTGAGCTATTTATTATTTTAAATTTATGCTTTTTTTGTAGTTATTATGTCTGCGGGGCTTCGTCGCTTTGCGTCTTCGATTTGGACATTGATTGCATACAAAATTGATTGAAAAGCTGACTGCTCATGCTCATGCCTCGTACCTTGTTGCCTTTTTTTTGCGACCCACTCCATCCTCCATCCTCGTTCCAACCACTCTGGGAAGCCCTTCCACTGGGGAATGATTTACTCAGGAGATGGCTAAGGGGCCGGGGGAGGCGACTGTCGTGTGTAAAATTGATAACTTTGTTTGTGTAAACAGCGACGCGACATATCGCCCTCAATTCCCTGGCATCCTTGCCCCCCTTCTGTCTCCCTAGCACTTCGGCATCCTGTGCCCCATCCTTATTTCGAATCCCTCCCGCCGACCGACAAATTCTCCGACATGATGTATGTGTTCAGGGCGTGTGCGTGTTTATATCGCGTAAACGTACCGCTGGCTCGCACACACACCCTGTTTCAGCGAAAGACTCGAATTATCGGTGTCAATTTTTATGCTGCTACGTGTGCGAAATTTAACAGAGCGCCAACTGATGAGTGAACCTGTAGACACATTGCCACATGCCACACAGCCCGCCGGAAGGGGGCGGGGGGAGGACTCTGGGGGGAGGACTCTGGCAAAAACAAAACATAAAACGATGTCGCCCAATTTGGCATTACATGGCGATTGCCGACGACTCGATAACGAAATGGAAACCTAGCCAAGAAGAGACAGTCTGCTGGAGCAGGACGAGAACGGGAACCATCGTCGAAGGATAAAGCCAAGTCGAGCCAAAGGTAAGGTGAAAACCGGGCTAAATATGCCAAAAGTAGTTGTTGGACAGGAAAGCCAGGACAATAAGAATCAGAATCGGAATCACCAGCAGAATCAACAATAGCCATCCAAAGCTATACATATATATGGGGGGATCCAGTATGTAACAGGAGTACCATACCAAGTGCGGAGAGTAAAAGTAAGAAGCAATACAGGAGTAACAGCAGCAATAGCAATAGCAACAGCAACAGCCGGCAGGACAGACAAAGGGATGCTTAAGTTTTGCTCAACTGTTCATCAGAATTACAAATTGTATTCGATTTCCGGCATTTGTGACGCTTGAGTTAACAGGCGAAGTAAGCAGCTGAAATGGTATGGGGATTGGGCAGATGGGCGAAAGGATAAAGCCAGGACCAGTCATCCAGCCATCCAACAGCCAGCCAGCCAGCAGAGCCCAAAGGGGGCGGGTATATGTGGATGGGGGAGGAGTGGGGCGTGTTAACCAACCCCAGGCACGATTTAAATGCCATATAAAGTTTTATGCATATTGCGTACTTGTTGTGTCCCAGCGATAGTTTATAGGACGAGGACAAGCGACAAGCTAGACAAAGGACGAGGTAGGACGAGGATGACAACAAGCCCCAAAACGCTCCATTTGAGGCCCGTTGGGTTGTCAAAACGTTTGATTCGATTAGACCGATTGATTGTATTAACATAAAAAACGCATTGATTCGGCTTAGCCAAGCACTCAACGCACCCAACGATTTGCTTTCGGATTCGAATCCCAGATAGAGGTATTGCATTGGCATTCGAATATTTCTTTTTCTGTTTTTTTTTTCGAGGGGCGAGATATTCTGGTAGTTACAAGACAGGTTCTCATTTTCAATTTTCAATTTTCCATTTACCATTTACCCATTTTCATGGGAAACAAATAGCAATCCTCTAAAGTTTGCACGATTCTTGCAAATTTATTTGAGCCATCTCTGTTGTTCTTCGCCGAAAAGTTGTGCGCCCCGAAACTTTTCTATCTAGATCTCTTTCAGGCGTTCAGGAGACTTTGGTTTGATTTATAGGATTTGGCGCTTCGCTGGTGAAAAGTAATATTTAAATAATATTTTCGCGGAGGGGAGACATAACTCACGAGCCCCGCGATAGCAGTATAGTATAGCGCTTCGTACTCTCGCTATTCGATGGCCTCCTATAAACTCTCATATTCGTATTGGTGCGATTCGCCATTGTCTCCTCGGGGTCTGGATTGTAACTGAGGTCATCCGCCAGGCGCCGGAACTCATTTCACAAAAGCTGAGACCGAGACTGCGACAGAGTATCGGACTCAGACCTAGGAGGACCCTATTTCCGATAGCAATTGCCATCTGAGTGTGGAAAGTTTAAGCCATCAAATAAACCAATGATTGACCAGCGATTCTCTTCTTATGCCCCATATCCTTTGGGAGCTTAATTATGGCCACCATAATGCGCACAAATAGCAGGTTACATTCAATTTGACATGTAATTTTATCGCCCGAAGCAAAACTTTATGTGAGTGTGTATGATCTAGGGTCTAGGACGAAGGAGTGCCGATTGGAAGGTGGCTCTGGCGGTGGCGATGGATGGAAGTATTGGACGCGTCGTGCACAATTCAAATACATATATTTTATTATTTTATTATCTACTGTTTTATAACTTTTCCCCGACTGCTCCTAAGCTGGCACTCAAACTTTCTGCACGTTTTCCGTATAAAAAGCACTGTGTGGACCAAGCGGAGCTTCCGTCAGCAGATTTGTGTCGACTCTCCCGCCCCCTTTACACTTATACAAACATAGACATCGAATATATATATATATATATATATATATATATATGTATATGTATATATGCCCCTGAAGACGCGGCACAAATGGCGCAATTGTGTGAAAGTTGAAAAACGTTTTTTGGCGAAATGTGCGGCACTAAACAATGCCATAAAGCGTCAAACTTGTCGATACTTTTTCGTTCGTTTCGTTTGGTTTGCTTCAGTTTGGTTTGGTTTGCTTTGCGTCTAGCTGCCATCATCCAATCTCGTACACGCTGCGAAGGAGCAATGTATCCGTATCTGAGAGTACGTATCTGTATCTCGGCCCGCTCGCCCCACTCTCACCA